TCATAGGTAAATGGCATGCTGCTACGGTTGCAATTTTCTATTCTTAATACTTTCTGGTATCCATTTAAGTTAGAATAGTTTTGGATTGATTTCTTCAGAATACATAAAGGACACGTAGATGTTGTGCATGTGTATTTGTCTGTTTATCTTTCTCATTGAAAATAAAATGATAACATCAAGTAGGAAGATGCAGAAAATTCTCAACCACAACCTCTAGTCCTCTACATTCTCAAGGACCAGTAGAGTTAATCATTCCTTTTCTTTTAGCATTTGGAGAACTATAAATCATAAATGAAAATAAATGCCAAATTTAGCTATTTATTTTATGCTGCAATTAACCTGAAGTGTTAATTTTAATCAGCATGTTGCAGTAAAGATTCATGGTGATGGAAATTATCTTAGTGAGTGATTATTCTGGTTGACACACTTCGTGGATTTATAAATTTATGTTTGAGTGATGATGCCTAAGAATTGTTAGTTGACCACCAACGCGCCAATTATTTAACAATAACATCAGGAAAATTGATTTGAATAGCTTGCAGAAAAGTAAAGTTATGCTGTTGAAAGTAGCATATGGCTGAACTATAGTTAATTAATCAGTCCTATTAAATATTGCAGGAATCTTTATGAAAAGTGTTGACGTATATGACAAAGATGATGAGGAACGATCTGCCACATCTAGAAGAGGGAAACAGACACCATTGATTGAAGGGAACAGAGATGCATCGAGTGAAATCTAATTTCCCTTTCAGTAGTACTAATACTGTGCTTCAAGTGTATATTAACTTCAATTATGAAAAGGGTAAAAGTCGGGTAGTATCTTTACTACAACGAATCATGTGGTAAAGGGTGGACGATGGTTTTGATAATGTCATGTTATCAGTACAAAAGGATATTGAATTTTACTTTATGTTTGAAAAGAGTCTGTTTATTCTTTCACGGGTCAATTTGTTGCTCCTTGTAAATTTGTAATTATCCAGTCTTGCCATGAAAAATAAACCGACGGATATTTTGTTCTAGGAGTGTTAACTAAAGCAGGTTTGGTTTCGTGGCTTTTATGTTGTTCCTCTAAAATTGTAGAAAGGTGAGTTATCAGTATCAAAGTCTACGAACATATCTTTTTTTTTTTTTTTCTTTTTTTTGGGTACCGAGGGACAATTTTTAAAGACGTATGAAATTTAATACTGGAAACAGTAGCAAAAGATTGGAACAAATTTGATAGAAAATGAAATTTAAATTGGAGGTTGTGTCAATTTTGTACGATGGATTGGGTTTAGTTTATGTCTCATTGATGTTGTGTTACTTTCCTAAATCTTTCTCATTATTTTTCAAAAGACTCAAAACAATCGGTCCGCTACAAAATCAAATAAAAATAAATTAGGCCATAAACTATTACGTTGCTAGAAACAAATGTCAAATTTAGCAAGAAGAAAAGAAAAACGTATCTAAAGATTACGTGAGAGAAAATGTAATAGTAGAATAAAAACTAAAGCAGCTTCGCACAAAAAGATGACACCAAATTTAAAATTGACAAAAACTAATTAAAATAAGTGAAAAAGTTTTTTATTTTTTGAAAGATGTCAACATATCACAAGAAAATATTCCTAATGGATTTAACGAACTTTTCCAATCTTTATATCTCGTACAAACTCAAGATTAGAAGTTATGTATTATTCTGGTAGTACAGAGACTAACTCACTACTCGAAGATGGATATCATGTTTAAAGGTCAATTCAAATATGCAAGATATCAAATTTAGATCTTGAATATACAATAAAATCTTTAAGTCTTATCGAAAGTTTTGATTTAATTAACCGATTTTATAATCTAGAAGATATTTTAGTGAAAGATAAAAATGTTTATATTTTTTTTATTTTTTTTATCGTGATATATGATATAACTAAGGTTTAGGAATTAAGATTCTCTAGCTTGAAATATAGTTAACTTTGAATCAGATTATTCACTTTATATTTGTACTCCGATTTAGGATACTCAACTTTTTATCGAAACCACCAAAAACACATTACTTATTTGTTAAGCTAATATTTGATTGATGTTGTGTCTTTTCAATAATTTAAAAAAAAAAACTATTTAAAATTACAATTTTAATAAATAATTTAAAAATAAAAACATATTTAACCCGCTGTAAAAATATATTATAATTAAAAAATATAAATAAAAAGAAAATGTATGATGAATTTATATATATCATTATTATTATTTTTCTATTTTGGACATGATGGAACATTATATTTATAAACTAATTCTTTAATAAATGTTTGATTTAATAAAGGTATCGTTTTCTTTTATGAACAATTAAATTCCTTAATTTAACTCAATTAATATTGGTTTTTTAAATTAACTTTAATGGAAATTATTTGAATTTTACATTAGTATATACGTATACATTTTAATAACCAAAAGAAAACACCAGTTAAAGAGTTTAGTAACAAAAGTCTTTTGTGATATTAACAATATTAATATCATTAAATAAAAGTCTTCTGTTTTTAATATTTTCAAACTTTTTAAAAGCACTTATTTATTTTTCTTTAAAATATGATGTTTGACATATATGGTTATTTTTAATTTAATTTTAAAATAGAATCGAGAAAATATGAAATAAAATAAATATTATGAAATTTTAATTTCTTATCAGAAATATCATACCAAAATTAGACTTTGACTTCTTTTTTTCATTTTTACTACTGAAAACTTGAGTATGAATATTTATATTTTTATTACATTAAAATAATATAATTTTAAATATGTATATAAATTTATAAAATTAATTAAAAATACATGTGATACAGACTTTAATTAGAAGATATATAAAATTTTTAAATTGAGACCATGAATTTTCATATTTAGTTAAATAAAAAAATATTTTAATTTATAAATTAAAAATGATAAAAAAAAAAAGAGTTGCATAATTATGTTACGTCATTAAATAGTCTTAGAGAGTCCAGGTATTATGTCATTACCCACTCAAATAGTACCTGGGATTTGGACTGAAAAGAGTACACATTCATTTTTATTATTTTTATTATTATTTTGTGAACTTTTATTGGCTGCATGTCATCCTATGGTAATGACATTCATATTTGTCTATTTGAAAGATACAAACAACCATCTTTAAAAAGATACTTGCACCATTAGGAATATTTTAGTTATTTACTTATGAATGGAAGATTATTTTTATCATGATATCTATATTCCCAATATTTGCTATGATTTAAAAAAATGAATTAATTAACATAGTGTTATTGATGAAAATTATTAATTATTAAAAACTTGTTAAAAGTTTAATTTTATAAAATTATGTTTTTTATTTAGCGTTATAGTTAAAGTTATTTTTAATTAAATTAATTTTAGTTAAAAAGACTTAGCTTATTGTTTTGCCGAAATTTGGTCTTTGATATGTTGAGTCATCGTTTGAGTTTGTGGTGATTGTTGGTTCAATATGATGGACAGAATCAGTAACTAATTAAGTAAATTAGTATTTAATCTTATGTTTAAAAATGTTTTTGAATCAATTTTAGTGTTAAAAATACCAATTTAGTTATTTAGATAGATCTTAGATGCAACCAAATCAATAATCAGATATTTTATTTATATTTAAAATTAAATAGTTATTTTAAGTATGTAATGTAGAGAGAAACAAATGCTAATATAAATTATTCTTTTACTAAAAATAATTATACATGTTTTAATTACTCACAATATAATTTTTTTTTCTTTTTTCTTCCTTTACTGTAAATCTGTAATCTATTTAGTTATAGAAAAACTTGTTTCAAATTATAATTCCACAATTTAACGATATATACATAATAATACTATAATACAAAATATTATATTTAAATAAATTTAAGAAATTAAAGTTTAAAATAAATATTTAATTTAAGACATTAAGATGATATAAAAATACATAAGCAATCATTGTTTTAGCAAAATTTTTTAAAATATTTTTGTAATATTATTTATTTACTGGTATTACTAGATTTCTGTAATAAAATCAATCAATAAACTAACTTATTATACTAAAATTGTGTAATAAATTAGTTAATAATCAGTTGATAAATATAATATTTCATGAAAATATAATTCTATAAATTTTGATATATAATTGCATTTGTTTTTCTTAACAAAAACATATTATTATATAATTATAATTTTTTATTTATTAAAATAATTAAATTTTCGATAAAATTTTTAATACTTTTATTCTTTTTTAAGTTGTATACACTTTTTTTATTTAGAAAAATATTTATTTAAATAGCTTAGTATAACGAACATTAGTTAAATTTATTTTTAAAGAAAATTAAATTTTTTATTTCTTAATTAAAAATATTATTATGTTAAATTTCTTTTCCACAATTTATTTTGTGTAATTTTCATATAAATTCATGTAATGAAATATTTTTAACACGGGATATAATCAGTATTAATTAAATTTATTACTTTAGAAGGTTAAATTTTTTATTTGTTAATTTAATTAGTTTTATGTTGAATTTTTTTCTATAATTTTATTGTATGTAATTTGTATATAAATTTATATCATAAAAATATATTATACTTCTATATGTAACTTTAATTTTTTTTTAATTATAAAATGTTAAAAATAATAATATACCTATTAAAAATAATATAATAAGTAAGTATTTTTATACAATTGAAATAGACAATAATAAATAAAGGAAAACATTCTTTTAACGACTTTTTATTTGCCAAATGTACTGGTTTGTTTCAAATATTATTTTAAAAATAAATTCAATCACATGTTCTGTTATAAAAAAATAGTTAACATAATCCATAAATAAAATACAAATTAACAAAAATATACACTAAAATATATAGATAATAATGAAAAAAAATTAAATTTGCGGTGAAAAGTAACATATAATTATAAACTAAAAAATAATAAAATAAACTAGTTTTAGCTTCCTCAGAAATACTCTCGTATGAAAATAAATAAATCATATAAATTGAATTTCCATGTTTGTCTCGAGCACAAGTTCATATCATCTATTCATTGGAGTCAGAGACAACAGAGACAGAGCGAGTTTCCGAGACATCCTGTGTCATCATCTGAACAAACTCTGGTTTGTACATTTCACATCTCTCTCAAAACCTCCTTCTGGTGTGGTTCTGTAACTCTAATTTTCTGTTGTTACCTACAATTTTTCGTGTGTTTCACATTTTCGATTAGTATCTGTCACCTTCGGAAACAACCTACTTCACAGATTCACCTAACACCCCTCTCTTGATTTTTAGCCCTTTTCATTTCTATCAATACTATCATTTCTTCTTTCATTTCACTCCTTCTATTCTACATACAATCCTGCTGTTTTCTTTCACTCTGTATGTACTCCTGAGAAGAGTGTTGGTTCAACTTCATTCTTATTTCATCTATTTATTTGGGAACAGGTGAAAGCACAGTAATATTCCGACCTTGTTCAAAAGTTATTTTTTTTACAAGGATAAATGCATGCACTTAACATCAGCGATCCAGTTTCTTATACTCATAGTCTATGTATCCTATTTTAGACGTTGATTCATACAATAGTCTCTCTTTTTATTTCTGGGATCTAATTTAGTTGGAGTTATATATCTGGAATTTTTCTCTTTGAATTTGTGGGTCTTTGTTAAATCAGAAAGAGAGAGAACATGGTTATTTATTTAATCTGTGAAGCAGAAAGAGTGGAAGAAGGAGTTTCAATTTCCTTAACCTATTTCAATTTGAACTACTTTTGGTTTCTGTTTTTTTTTTTGTATCTGGATATCCTTTGAGAGTTAATTAAGATGGATCACAAAGGGACGGGAATGTCTTACATGACTTAAAATGAGTTTGATCTTCATAGCTGTGGCATTTTCCTCTTCCTTTCCTTTTCTTCCACCCTTACATAATGACACTGTTAAAAGAAGTTGTTTGGATTTATTTCTGGCCTCAGATTGTTTAGGATTAAGTTAAGAAAATAATGCAGAGCAGTTTTGAGATAGTTAGCAAACAACACTCATTATACCTTCATGTCAAGCCTGTGAAGCTAAGCTCTAAAGTTGAAGAATTTAATCTTAACCTTTAAGCAGCTTAACGAAAAGTAGAGATTTTTTTTTCACCAGTTAGAAAGTTTATGACTGTACCTTTTTGTGGATTGTATGAGTTTTACGCAACTCTAGAGGATCCATGCACTAATTACAAGACTGGTTGGGTCAATTTAGTTGTCTGATCTGTACTGCCTAAAGGATAATCTGTCAGGGATGTGATAATGCTATGTCCTGCAGCAGCGATAAATTCATTTTGTTACCTTTGAAAATTTTTCTAGGTGTTAACTTTTTTCTTATTTTACACAAGATAGTGGTTCGTTAGGACATCTGCATTAGTCGGTAGAGACATCATGAGGGCACTGGATAGTATGTTTTTTTACATTTTAGCCTTGGTTAGAGGGTGGGCAAGAAGAACACTAGAGGAAATAATTAAGTCAATAATATCCCAAGAAATTTAGCTTTAAACTGAGACTAGTAGGTCTTGTTATTCATGCATCCCACCTCACCTAGTGGAGCAAATAATTAAACACTCATTATTGTTATTGATTTTGTAATTACTACATCTTATAAATATTTTCCAAGTAATAGAGGATATGAAGCAAATTAAAGAATTTATTTTATTATTACTTTCCAACATCTGCATTTTTACATTATTGGTGTCTGAATATGCTTCTCTTATGACATTACCCGTTATAGAATTAAAAAAAGTGAAAATCCTCATTCTAGTCCTTAAAATTGTAAATTGTCAGTCACATAAATCCTTGATACTTTGATCCCTGACATTGGGGAAATTTATTTTCGATTTCGTTCTCTACAGTTGTTTTCCAGCTAAGTACACTAATAATGACATCTATAAAGTCATGGACTACAGTTTGATACATAAATTTTCAAACACTAGAATGAGGGTTTACTCTAATGAAGCTTAGCTCTCCTCTTAGCTCTAGTTTTATCCTGAAAAATATCATATATACCTTGAACTTCTGTCAAATTTTCACTAGAACAGTAGAAATTAATGGGAAAGAGACACCAAGGGGACCTGTTTTTGAAACAAACAATCCTGTTCTCAATGCTTTCGTAGGGATAAAGTGCATGCCCTAGATTTTATGTGATTTCCAGTATTGTTTAAATGGGCTGTTTTGTCAAGTAAATTTTATTGTAATGGTAATTTTACTTCACATGTTCAGGTTACTTGTCTATTCCTCAGTTTTCATTCTTGGAATTTTTATTTTTCAGATGGGAGATGTGGCAAAGGACCTAACTGCTGGGACTATTGGGGGGGTGGCGCAATTAATAGTTGGCCACCCATTTGACACCATCAAGGTCAAGCTCCAAAGCCAGCCTACACCCCTCCCGGGCCAGCTTCCCAGGTATTCTGGTGCAATTGATGCTGTCAAACAGACAGTGGCAGCTGAAGGTCCAAGGGGTTTATACAAGGGTATGGGTGCCCCACTTGCCACAGTAGCAGCATTCAATGCTGTTCTGTTTTCAGTTAGGGGGCAAATGGAAGCATTACTGAGGTCGCATCCTGGTGCTACTCTCACAGTAAATCAGCAGGTTGTCTGTGGAGCTGGAGCTGGAATTGCCGTTTCGTTTCTAGCTTGCCCTACTGAATTGATCAAATGCAGGTCAGAGGTTATTGGTGATGATTTAATAATGGTCATGGTTTCGTTACATTTCCCGTATATTCTTTCTATCAACTTCTATATCTATTGTTTCTTTTTTCTCCTTCTAAAACTTTTCATAGATTTTGACCTCTTTGATAACATAAACTTTTCGGTGAAGCATCTCTTGTTTTAGTGTTCACTTTAGACAAATCCAATCATGTATTTTGTGGTTGACATGAAATCAGATAGTCATGAGAATAAGCTGAGTGAATTGAGCTCCAGACTAGTCTTGGTTAACTTTTCCTGAATTCGTTTTTCATATAATCATTTAAACAGAAGTACTTAGACTATGTATTGATCTTCTAACTGTTTTGTTTCGTGGTGAATATCAGATTGCAAGCACAAAGTGTATTAGCTGGCAGTGGAGCAGCTACCGTGGCAGTGAAATATGGGGGACCCATGGATGTAGCCAGGCAAGTTCTCAGGTCAGAAGGGGGCGTAAGAGGTCTGTTCAAGGGCATGGTTCCCACTATGGCTCGTGAAGTACCTGGAAATGCTGCATTGTTTGGTGTATATGAAGCACTAAAGCAATTACTTGCTGGTGGCACTGATACTTCGGGACTGGATAGAGGTTCTCTGTTGCTTGCTGGAGGCTTGGCTGGAGCTGCGTACTGGCTCGCAGTTTACCCAACTGATGTTGTCAAGAGTGTGATTCAAATAGATGATTACAAAAACCCGAAGTTCTCTGGTTCAATTGATGCTTTCAGAAGAATTTCAGCTACTGAGGGGTTCAAAGGCCTATATAAGGGTTTTGGTCCAGCAATGGCCCGAAGTGTTCCTGCTAATGCAGCTTGCTTCTTGGCATATGAGATGACAAGATCAGCTCTTGCATGATTAATTCATACAGAAACACTGATAGCAGCGGTGCCATTGAGTGACCATGTTTCCTTTTCTTTTAAATTCCTAAAACATTTTCATTTCATGCATTGCAATTGCAATATGGCCACAAAAGGCTTAACTTGTTATTGATTCAGGGAATCGTTCTTTCATCCGTGGTTATGCAGCAGCACTTTATTTCAGAATCAAGTGTTTTCCTTTATGCTTAAAATATTTTTATAGATCACAAACGATGTTCCTAGAAAAAAAATTTCAGCGTGTAGTTCAGAGTTAAGATACAGTTGTGAATCAAATTCTTGCAATTTCAAATGTATCTTAATAGTTCAGTGTGAATTTAAGGTTTGTGATCAAATTAGGATGCAATCATTTGAACTTGCAAGAACTGGATCAATTGTATCTTAACATTTTTTGGTGAGCACACTGTGTCCTAACTAAACTAACTTAAATTCGTTTTTTTAGATTTCATGATGAACCTTGGTCCAAACCTAACAATAAATACAACAAAAATTGTTGTAAGGAATAAATATGTACTCTTGCAATTAGATTATTTTACCGTTTCCTTTCCTGAGATGTCAATGGACAGAATTTATTCAGAAAGTATGAAGGTATTGAAAGATTCTGTCACTGTTAAATTCCTGTGGCAGTTCCCAGTTCAGTTTCAATGGTTGGCCTACTAACTCTATTGGATGAAAAAGAATTGGCACTTTCTTCCTGTCCTCTATCAATATTTCCGGAATTGGTATGGTGTGTTCAGAAAAGTAAAATTAGGAAATTCACAGATTGATGGGGTGAAGGAAGAAATTTCATAGTGGCAGGAAGAAACAGACGAAGGAATCATAGGGGACTAACCCATGAAGACAACCCGATATGCAAGGCCCAATCCAGTTGACTAACTATCATGTATTCATATTTACACCACGTAATCATTCATAAGACCCAGTCATAACGAACTATTATGAATATCAGGAGGGGGAAAAGGAAGTGAGAAAAACATGGTGAGTGGCACGTGACATAACAAACTGGGTCCAAGGAAAATGTGCGAACGATTAAACGTCGCAGTTGAATGCTGAGTTGATTTTCTCCTCTTGTTTGTCATGTCTTTGTTGAGTGCGAGCACTGAGTGTGATAATATATATATATATATATAACACATCATTCTTATTTTATCGAAACACAGAACACTCCAATTTGCCAAAAATGGATGACCCCAAACTACCCTCTCATCACTCATCCATCTCTCTCATTGCTAGGCTGGATCATTTGGAGTTCATTGTGAGCTTTTCACTCTCCTAACCTTCGTCTTATTTGTCACAATCACATCAATTTTCTCACATATCATTCTTAGAATCTTACCCTTTCAAACATTTATTTATCCTTCTCAGCATCGCTTTTTCCTTATACATGTCTATTTATGCTTCTCATGACAGATGAAATACTTAGAAAGAAAACAAAGATCTGGCAGCAATGTCCCTTCTGACAAAGCCAAACAACCTTTCGATTTCTCCACCAAAGAGGATTTCTTTAAAGGCACATTGTTGGATCGAGTTACCTCTCTTGAACACAGACTTTTTAAGGTTAAACATTATATTCGGTCTGGTTTTGCTGCCAGCCATTTTGTCTAATAATTGCATTTGGCATTTTTAAGATTAACTTTCATGCACTATCTGTATGATAAAAAATTATGATAGATATAATTTTTAAAATAATTATCTCAATAACCAACAAACTTTTTCTGTATGTTTATCTCAAAAAATTCTTTACATTCTGTTCATGGTCTGTATTTTTTGTATTTTTGGGAAAAATGAGATTTTTATTCTTTTACTATCCATCAAATTTTACATTTGATATTTTTTTTATCCTAGTACTGGTGCATATTGTTATACCGATGGAGACCTTAAATCATATTAAGTAGACATTTTCATCTAGTATCATTTATTTATTATTTAAAGTTAATTTTAGTTATATAAATAGAGAATATGTCTTGATTACTACTGATCTGCATACTTCCTGAGATAATCATAGAAATAGATAGAGCTGTGATGACATAAACCACTTGCAAAAAAAAGGTTTATCATCTTAGTGAATCGATTTCAAACACTTCATGAAACAACTAATGCTTAAACCGCTAAATCCCTCATCTACATGTAGCCAGAATATGCCTACGAAAATGACATCCTTTCCATAAGCATCCATTACTGAGCAACAATATTTAGAAACATATACCATACAGTCACACTCACTCCTATGTTCGAGAAAATCATCACTGTTCTTTGCATCAACACTCTCATCACATGAATTTAATTATTTTAAAGTGTAAACATATTATCTACCATGTAAGTTAACACAATTATGTGTTTCTTTAGCTTTATGTAGATATTGATTCAAGTGGAAACCCTCTACCTTTGTCCCGTGATTCCACACAAACTTCTGGGGAATCTTCTACCAGCCAGGGATCCAAGACAGAAATATGTCACTCTTTTCCAACTTTCAACAATCTCTCAAATAATACTGAGAGAGGATTAATGCCTATCAAGACAACTGAAACATCCCAGGTAAGAAAAAAAACAACATTACTGAAATAGAACAGTTAATTATTTCTAATATATTCTTGATTGTTGAAGAGTCAAATGTTTACACTATAGTTTACAGGTTTACAACTAACCCCTGTAAATTTTTTGTTCACTGTCACCATCCAAGGGTCAATTAAACTAAATTTCATAAACTTTTTTCTTCTTAATTCTTGTGCTTGGAGTTTCGGTCCTAGCAAGAATAAAGAATGAATGGTAACCTCTAGATATGAGAAAAAATATATTAACATTATGTCTCTTTCACCCTTAAAAAATGTACCCAAATCCAGTTAGATTAGAATACAAGGCATACCTAACATGAAAATTTGTAAGGACCACAGATAATTATGCATGTGTTTGTTAAAAAGTGTGTGTGTTCATACAGATAAAAGAAAGAAATCATGCGCATCACGAATTAATGGAGCTTCTAGTATGTTATATTTTTTTTTCTTTTTGGCTGTATTTTATCTAAATAAACTAAGCAGTAAAGTCCAAAGAGACAGCAATTAGGTTATGATGGGAAAATGTAAATCAATCGGCAGCAACATCATAGGCAGTGTGTACTATATAGCCTTTTTGTTTTATATTATTGTTACCTTGGCACTGGCAACACCAACAGCAACATAGAAGTGATTTACAAGGCGTTTCTGCTGGTTGCGAATCCTATGCTATTATTGGAATGAATCTCAGAATCAATGTTTAAAATGTATATTGTTGCAGGAAAAATGTGAGAGCGAGAAGCAACAAATTAAAAACTCGTGTCCTCCTAAGCAACAGGTGCAGGTGGTGAAGAATAGACCTAAGAAGAATGAAAAGAAAGGCCAAGTTGAAAAAAAACGAGTATCTAATGTTGGTTGGCCACATTTAAAACTACTAGGTTGCTGATCCTCGTAACATTGGTTAGTTTCTTACTTCTTTTACCCGACCATGAACATTAATATAAATTTGTGTCGTTCGGTTTGAATTTTCTGGTACATTACTTTATACTGGTAATAATAAAGTATGAGATTAGATTTGGTAGATATAGTCACAAGGATACTTTTTTATCAGAAATGAAAGATTATTTTTTAAAATAAAGAATTAATCTGTTTTAAAGATTTTATTTTCTCATCTGTACTGAAGAACAAAATCGTTTGGGAGTCGTATCATTGTTGAACAAAAGTATAGTCACAGTCACAGTACAATTGTTTGCACTGGAGTACTTGGGGAAATGAACCATCGCAGATTTTAAGGGACAGAAGACCATGTGAAATCGTGAACTGTAATAACACTAGCTTTGGTTCCAGCTTCAGACAACCCAATATTTCTAATTATTTAAGTAGAATTATTGGAAAAAAGATGCCATCGATCTCGTAGTTTGGAAGGACCTAGAGTTTTTAAATGCATATTTCATATAACATAACTAAGGATGTGTTTAAGAAATAAGCAACAAATTTCACACGTCATATTTTTCAGACAGAGCCAAAACACTGATACAAGTGAATTTGAGGAAATGCATTTTTTTAAGTGTATATTATATATATACTCTGAAGTTCAAATCGCAGTGAGCCGTCAGAGGCAAAGAAGGTTTAATTGAAAAATGATTTGTTAAGGAGTTGGAATCAGATACACCCACTAACGAAAGGTCTAAAGAGAATTTCATGATCATGGCTTAACAATGGCATATACATAACTTATAAAAACTAAAGAAAATGGAATATCTGGCATTGTGCTTATTACTTTTCATGGTATCAATTAAAAAGGAACATGGTGAACAGCAGGGCCTCCTCCTATTTGCCGGCTGGGAGATCTTCTCATGACCACCAAATTTAAAATGCTAAACACTTATTTGTGGTCATCATGATTCGTGAATCTTGCAATAAAAATGAAATGGATATTCTCGCGTTGAAATTTTATTTAGTTTCAGAAAATTGCTAAATCCTACAAAACGTTACCACAAAAAATAAGAGATCCATTCAATGATTTGATTTCTGAGAAATATATTTTTTGAGGGTTGAATTATGCTAATGATTGTTATGTATTGATATTAACAGTTTATATATAGATTTGTTGAAAGAGAGAAAATTGTGGTGAGCTGGAAAATCCGTGGAATGATGCAGACATCCATTTTGAAGTTGCTTGAAAGTGTTTTTTATCTTAATTTTTGAGTATGTTGGGAAGTAATCTGTCCGGTCGAGATGAGCTCATAATACAGGCACAGCAATGATTTTAGTGTAATTATCGGTAAGCAAAATAAAATTCTAAAAGCAGAGACTTCAGTTCATAATAATGGAATCAAATGGTGGCTACAAGCAGACAGTTTCTAGTTGTGCAATGACCATCATCTTTAGACTTTAGCTATCTTTTGGATGCCACCAACCAATGAAATTATTTCTCTGTCTACAAAGTTTTATTATTTTAACACCATTATTAATACAGACAACAATCATAATCCTGAACTTCATCAATTCATCCAATAATATATTCCCTTAATCATTTCACCTTTTTATTTTCCCATTAAATATTCTCGTCAGATTCTTCTAGAATTGTGCTCTACCACATTAATCTAATTGCTTTCGCATAACCCGGAGTCGGAAAATAACTACATCAACACCACCTCTATTTATTGTCAACATAATTTCACTTTGATTTTGAATGCATCAAATATTCTAATCCATCATTATAGCTACTACTTAACTTTATGGTTTAATGTCACTGTAAGTTCTTTTTTTTTAAAATCTTAAATAGATTCCTTTTCTTTTCGGCGTATCAATTGAGTCCTTTTTATTGTTAATTTGATTCAATTAGAGATCTGCCGTCAAATTCAGCAAAGGGTCGTTTAATAGTTGGTAACGTGGCATATTCACTTGAATATGTAATGACATGTGGCATTAAAATTGATTTTTGTTTTAAAAAAAATTAAGGAGAGAGGTGATATCAGATGGAGAGAAGGGCAAAGGTGGAAAAATTAAAAATTATTAGGGCTTCTGTGTGCAGTTTGGCACGGAGCTTGGAAGGGAAGCTGGAGAGCTTGGAGAGCTCGTCAATGGCGACGCGTAGCGAGAGCTTGAAGAGGAGCTCCGGGTCAGCTGTGTTGGATTCCGACAACGAGGATATGGTGGAAAAATTAAAAATTTTTAGGGCTGTCACCTTTAATTGGGGGAAAATATTGGGGGAAAGGTTGTTATTATTACCCTTCATGTGAAGGGGAAAAATCGCGTTGTATGTTTGATTGCCCATTGCATATGCGGTGGTAGAAGGAGAAAACTCTTGATTTTTTGTTCTTCTGTCATTATTATTCTTCTGCTCTTTGCTGCTTACTCACCCCTTCTTCTAATGTCTAGAGTGACTCTTTCTACCATTTTCTTTTCTTGTACGTGGATTTCTGCTAATAAGGTTAGTCGGAAAGGGAAAAGAGGAAAATTTCTTTGGATTTTGAAGTCTCTGGTTTCATGTTTGTTTCTAAAGTATAGCTTGTGAGGTTTTTTCTTTTTATGAGTGGAGCGGGTGCGGGACGGGTTTCAACTTATCAAAATTCAAGAACGAGCCTTGCAAATTCAGGGGTTGGAGAAAGATAGGGAAAGTTTTGATCTTTTTGGGTGCAAATAAACAACTTTTGTCGTTACCCATTTAAGTTGAAAGTCTTAATTCACATCAATTGGTGTTTATGATTGATAAAAGCTATTAAAGTGAAAAGATTGATTTTTTGATAACGTCTTAACACTATTGTTGTTTCTTCAGTTGTTTACTCCAAATTTTTGGCCAAAGGAACACAGTTGGAAAAGAAAGCTTCCAGAAAATGAAGACTTTTTACACTTGAATGGCTTTCCTCTAGATGACCTTAATGAAGATCTCTTAGAGAGGGTGCTTTCATGGCTACCAACTTCCTCCTTCTTCCGTCATACTTCTGTCTGCAAGAGATGGAAGTCAGCTGCTGCTTCTGTGAGTTTCAAGCTTGCCTACACATAGAAGCCGTAAAAATTTTTAATTTTTCCACCTTTGCCCTTCACTCCATCTGATATCACCTCTCTCCTTAATTTTTTTTTAAAACAAATATCAATTTTAATGCCACATGTCATTACACATTTAAGTGAGCATGCCACGTTACCAATTATTAAACGGCCGTTTGCTGAATTTGACGGCAGACCTCTAATTGTATCAAATTAACAATAAAAAGGACCACATTGATACGCCGAAAAGAAGAGGGATCTATTTAAGATCTTTTGGACCAGACATTAAACCTAACTTTATCAATTTTTTTGGTATATTAAGCCATCGTTGTCACATCCGACTATTATACATCACCCTTTTACATACGCAACAGAAATAAGAAGAGAAGACATAAATATATGTGATGAAGTAGGTGATGATGATATAATGTATGAGATAAAAGAAAAACAAATAGATGAGAAGATAGGTAGAAATTATTGTATGAATAAATAATACTTAATATCGATATTATTTATAGTGAAATAGAGAGAAGTGGATCCATGGATGTGAACACATAAATGTGGGTAGCTTCTGCAACTTGCTGTTGTGTGGAGTTGGCTAGGTCTTGTGGGCCATTATCTCTTACACATCCCTAGGGATGAAATACAATTAATTATGACCCTATATCAAGTAAGATATTCAACTAAAATAAAATACTATTATTTCCTATATCTAGCTATTTTCCTCACGAATTATTCTCAAGCTTCTTTCTTTTGAAGTTAGGGAGATTTCTCTTCCATGAAATGTTATAGCCACCATTTAAATGAGATGAAGGCATATTGCATTAGAAAGAGGTATAGTAATTTGTAATTATGGAAATGGTGCATTGAGAAGCAGAGGAAGTTGCAGTGACTTGGGATGCTTCCCGTAACATCCCATATTTTATTCAAGTTGTCGTGAAGGAATCTTAATTGCCCCCTTTGACCCGAAACCATGACATCAATGCATTCTATAATCACAACCATCTTTAATATTCCTTTTTTGCTATAAATGGTTCATGCTATACTGCAAAACCAAATAATTACTTATTTCCTTCATTTTCTTCTTCTATTATTTTCGTTTAATCTATTCTGGACAAAAATATGGTTAAGTTATTAGAATTGACTTTCTTCATCAATTGCATGTGCCTTATATTTACTAGTTCTAGTATATGTTACTATAAATAATAGTGGTTGACTTACTCTACCCTAAGCTTCGTAACTATAAACCAATTATTAAATGAGTATATGCGGTTTATTTTAAAACTAATCACCTTATAACACATCAACTTCAATTTTATGGTTAATGTTTTGTGACATGTTTTTGAACAATTTTGGAAGTGAGATAATTTAACCCACATTACTAGTTTAATTTAGTTAGTTCGAGAGTGCTAGAGATTTTAACTGAAAAAATGTTATGGAATATATATATAAGAGGATTTTCATTTTTTTCTGTACATAATTATTATTATCTGTCTTTTTAAGAATAATTGTTATTTTGAAAGTTATTGAATAATGTTGTCTTCTTCTTTTTCATATTTTTTTAAGATGTATTTAATTTTGTTGATGAATAAAAGTTTATTTTGCATATTAACTTAATCAATTTGTAAATATTAATAAATTTTATTATAGTACAAATATTTAAAGAATACAAATATTATATAACGTTTTTACTTTTAATGGCAACATATCATCTCATTTTACATGTATTTGATATCTTAATGTTAGTTCTCACATTTTATCAATTCTAGACCAAGACAAAGGGAGTCTTTTTAAACACGATTAGTTTAAAAATATAGTATACTCCATAAATAAATAAATATATGCATATATATATATATATATATATATATATATATATCATTTTCAATATAATATATTTTATTATATGTGACAATAAAATATTTAATGTAATTTTTTTTGGGTTTTTATCATTCGCAAAATGTTTCTTATTAATGAGATTTTTGCTTATCACCTATAAAACAAAATGAAAAAATATATTGTGTCATAAATTTGTTTTACAATATTTTGATACAATACATATGTATTTATTATTTATTTGTTACATTGACTAATTTATTATTGTATTGACATATTCTAAATCCAATAAAAAAAATATACTATAGTAAAATGTTGTAAAAAATGGCTTAATTAATCGTTTGGTCCTTAGTTTTGGACTTTCTGTTCAAAGTAGTCTTATCTTTTTAAAAAAGTTCAGTAGTGACCGATATTTCGTTAAAAATGGTTCAAATGGTCTTTTTGGCTTGCAGCATTAAAAGCATAACGGTGCAATTGCTTCCGTGGCCAAAACTGAATGACCTATGCAGTTTTTGCAATACGTGGCACGTTTGATATATTTCAGGGTGTACATTAAAAAAAATTGAATGACGTGAGCAAGGTTTAACGGGTTAAATGAAATTACCCTTATCTAAGAATCCATTCGCGATTTCTGGGTTGTTAAATGTGGTGAAATATGGTGAAAGTGGTCTTCAAATCAAAGTGGGTTGGCGTTGTTGTTGGTTTTAGGGGTTAGGGTTTAATTTCGTCTTTTGTTAAATATACCTATTTTGTTTGATTAATGATGATTTTGGGGGTATAATTTCCTCCTTTGTTTGACAATTTCCTCCTCCTTTGTCTGACAATTGGGGGTTAGGGTTTAATTTCATCCTCCTTTGTCTGACAATTTGACCATCTCTTTC